CGCACGCACGCGCGCACGCACGCACGCAAGCACGCCCGCAGGCACACTGGCACACACAGGCACGCAGGCACGCACGCACGCGCGCACGCACGCACGCAAGCACGCCCGCAGGCACACTGGCACACACAGGCACGCAGGCACGCACGCACGCGCGCACGCACGCACGCAAGCACGCCCGCAGGCACACTGGCACACACAGGCACGCAGGCACGCACGCACGCGCGCAGGCACACACGCAAGCACGCCCGCAGGCACACCGGCACACACACACGCACGCGCACAGGCACGCACGCAAACACGCGCACAGGCACACACGTATATACGCGCGGGCGGCGGCGCGCGCTTGATTGAATGCAATACAGTACAGTACACACATGCATGCTTAAATGGTAAACACTTGACAGTCACACCGTACCATGAATTCTACCGCGCCGTGGAACCGGCTGCCGCCAGCGGCAGAGGCCGAGCGAGAGCGGCAAGGCACGGGACCAACCTGGACAATCGATTTCCAGGGCGACTTTTGCTTTTGGGGTCGCCCTCGATATCATGTTTTCGGGGGCTCTTTTTGGCATTTCGGGGGCGAAATCGCCCGCTGCCCCCGTGTATTTTTTTCCCTGGTTTGCAATATTGCCTTTGGTTAATAAACCCAGAATACCGAAGCAGCAGAGTGGTTGTGCCTTGTCGTCATGGTTACCTGCAGGCAGCTGACAGACAAGTGCTCAGGGTCTGAGTATTTCTCCTGCACACTACGCAGGGTCACATCACGGTAGTCAATGACGGGCCGTCCCATTAGGCACTTCTTGTGCACATGCAGTGCGCACAACGAGATGTCACGTGTCGAGAGACCTGTATGCAGTGTCATCTGTGAAAGCCAGGTTGTCACATTGCCGTTCAACATCACCTATTGGACAATGCAAGAAGTAGCGTGTGATTACATTAAACACGCAAGGCACTTTGAACGATGGCGAGAGTAGTAAAAGCGATAGGTTAAACACTGTTAAAGTGAAAGTCCTGCTTAAAGGTTGTGGTTACTCTCAGTCGGTTAATGAATCACGAATGCAATGATTATTTCAGGTGATTAGTCAAGTACCATAACTACATGACAAACTACTTAATGACAGAATATTATAATACAGAACAATACAGTAGTGGTGCAACAATTAATCGTGACACAATATCCAAAATACAGTTTCAAAATTGAATAAATAATATGCTTTGAAGTTCGTAGATAACTGTTGTGCCTTCGCACGTATAGATAGTTATTATGCTTTTCCGTGCGCTCACCAATGACAGTAGAACTGAGCTGGCAGCCAGGTATGCGTGGGAGTATCTGCCAACGTCTGACTCCAGTAACGTTAGGTCACAGATGTAACGTGATAAATGGATCGTCTTTGCTTCCAACGTGGCGAAAGAGTGAAACAATTCCAGAAAGTCGAGCGTCGTCGCACCGTATATCGCTCCGTGAACGGTCGCCGCGATTTCACCCATCATGTGTACGACATCCTCATACTTGTAGGTGTTGTCGGTAAGCCATGCTGCTTCTCTTACGGTGAGAATCTCCTTGCTCTGAAACCTATGGAAGAAGCAGCAGCGTTCTTCATAAGCTAGTTATTAGCAGCAACAGCAGTCATCTCATATGAGGCTCACATGCTACGCTTACCACCAGCAATGATGACAAGGGCCATCCTCCAAAGATTTCCTTTTTAGTTAAAGCTCGCATTTAAGGGGTGGGTTGCTAGGTACAGAGCAAGTTGTCCCGGGGATGCATGCCACATCCTGACGCCATCTCATCAGCGTGCACAAGCACTGCTTCCGGCCACTGACTTACCTGTAAATCACTGTCACACCTGGACAGCATCATACCTGTAGACGAATATCTGACTTACCTGGAGACGAGCACGAGGGCAGAGATGCCGACCAGCTGCAGGTTGGAGCGTGAGCAAGTGCTGCGATGCAGGAACAGGTCAACGAGACGCACAGTGAGATGCAGCACACGCTGACTGAAAACCTTCATCCTTATCACCTCCACCAGCCAGTCGATCAGGATGTACCTGCAGGTTACAACACGGACATCACAGGTCATCACCACGCAATTATTAATAATGATACCCACCAGTCAGTCGATCAGGATGTAGCTGTCTTATGAACTGCACGACAATATTAGTATCTGGCATTAGCTGGTAGCTAACCTAGCAGCTTTCATTTAATACCAGTAACAGGGATGTGTCCATGCAGGTGTTGTTAAGGGGAAAGGGAAGATGAAGGATAATAAAAACAAAGACCTTCCTAGAAGCTTCCCTGGTCTACCTAAAGCTTAAGATGTTGTTATTCGACCTGATAAATCATAAAACTACCGATTGTTTAAACAGGTGCCGCAGAGCAACAGCGCTCAACTGACGTGTACTGTAGCGGGTATTCTTCTGATAAACTCACTGGCAACCAAATCAAGTGCGCCCTCCCGCCACCGCGTTCGCACTCAGAGCATATATCTAGGCAGGGGTCGAAATTAGCGGTATCCCGATATTCGCGGGATAGTAGATTCTTGTGTTGGATACCAGATTTCAATGCTTGGTATCCCGCCGGGATAGTAAAAAAAAATCGTCAAAATCGGGATAGTGGTTGTGGTGTTATCAACTTTATACGGCAGCGCATCTGAGCGAGTGCGCGCGATCTGAGCGGGCTCAGGCACCCTTACGCCACACTAGCGTATACAGCAGCCATAGCATATTTGCAAGATATTGTTGCAAGAAGCCGATGTTGATCATAAATGTGATGTGTATACATTGTATCAAGCGAACCAGACAATGCGTCTAGACAATACGTCTGCAGTGTACTGTGGAGGTGTATGATACCATAATAAAAATCTAATTTCGACCCCTGCTAGGATACTACTAATACAGATCTAAAATCTATGATAGGCTTTGCTATACCGGTAGTACAGTCATAAAGATACAGCTGTGTAACTTTAATGACTTCGCTATATTAACATGTTATCATGGATATGCGTCGAGCACGAGCGTAGTGGTGGTGGCGGGGGAGGGTGGCTAGTCGGGGGCGGGTGCATGGAGGGGGCTCTAATAGCAAAAGCAGTTCAGTCCTTTGTTAACAGTCAGCAAGAGCATGTTTACCCCTCCTCTTGAGGGTCAAAAGGTTATCAGACACTTACTCTTCGCACGTCAGCGGAAAGTACATTTCATGGTCTTTTCAATAAAGTGATAAAAATGGTAGGTCAGCGCTGAAACAAAAAACTTTTGCACTCGGTCCGTTAGACCATGTCCTCAGAAAATGTCTGATATCTGACCTTTCCCTACTGCCCTTTGACCTGTGACCTCCAATTTCGCGCTGGTGATGGGTTTCCTCCCCATCACACTATACATCGAATATTAAGAGCGTAGGTCGAGCCGTTGAGATTTGTGCCGCAATTCCGTATTTCCTCCTATACCTTAAGTTAAGGGGGAAATATTCCCCCTCCATTGACACATCTTGACCTTTGACCCTTGAGCCCCAAATTCGACATCCCGAGTCCTTTTTGCGATCCCCCCCGACGTCCCGAATATCAAGACCGTACATCGAGCGGTTAAGATTTGTGCCCAACTGTTCACGGACAGGTGGACGCACGGACGGACATTCATGCGATTCTACAAGCTGCAGCTGACTTCGTCAGCTGAGCTAACAACCAAAAAAATAATTCCAAGTATGCAATTTGTTGAGGGAGGTGTATAGATGATATAATACCGCATTATGTTCGTCAGCTGAGGATTGCTTCTTAATGCCATGCCAGCCCACGTTGGATGTGATTCTTGCACAAAACCGTGCACGTAGCCGATAGCTTGCTCCTCAGGAATCCCTCCGTACTGCTTCTTCATGTACGCATGGCAGAGTGCCAAACGTGCATCCACACAGGCACCTGGTCCAAGGTCTCTCAGTCTCCTGATTCCTTCCAATTCCGTACCCCGATCTTGAGGCTACATGCACAAACAGCAGTGTGGTGATGAGTACATGTTCCAGGCTATGCATCACAACCATGCCGAACCAGGGTTTACGCAGCTAAGGCAAAACTTTTTCTCCAGGGCCTTTCCATGGCTTTTTCAAGACATAAGAAGGTTCTTCTAAAGGACTTCCCTTCCACAATTAGCAAACAAACTCTTGCCTTAGCTAGTCTGCATGCATCACAGACAGCAAAAACATGAAAAAGGGCTATATATATATATTATATTATTTAATTACCATTATATAATATAATAATAAGGGCTGTAATATATTATATCTTATATCATCAGTCAGTGTAACTGTTAAAACTTGTCATAATAATTGGCAACATGCGGATGCAATACACATGCTCAATTTGTAGGACATTCTGCAACCAAACGTAATAATAAGCCATTTTCCAGGACTTTCCAAGTATTATGGCCTATTTTTCAGGACTTTCCTGGCCTGTAAATTTTCATTTTAAACTTCCAGGGCACTCCAGCTTTTTAGACCACGAATCCTGGCACCACAGCATGCACAACAAAGCCCAAAGTGGTGTCTGACTCACGTTTGTGCAATACTTCTTCTGCCACAGCTTGAAGGCAGACCATGGAGATGACAGTCGGGCCGCTCTCTCCTCGTACGTCAGAGCTTCCTCTTGGCTGCTTGTCTCTTCCATCATCCCGAGGATTGTTGCCACACATGTTAATATCTTTCCTGAATTTTCCTGAAAGTACACACTGAATGAATATGCAATATAATCAAGGTTCACAGATGAACAGTTGATTGAAAATTTCCCAAAGCAGACAACAATGTCATATGTCTCAATTTTAAGATTTGTTTCCCTTTAATGGCCTATTAAACAAAAACTTGTGAGATAGAGACCTGTCTATAAACGGTCTATAACCTGTCTATATCTACTTTCACAGCCCATATATTGCGGAATCACGACACTACACGCACCTGATTCAAGTCGGCCATCTTCTTTAAATGCTTGAAGGCCAGAGTCTTTGTGTAGTTTCCATTGGCTGACCACGGTGGACGCAGAAACAATGCAGTGAACGGTGCCGTATGTGGTGTGAGTGACTCTGCGAGTCTAAATGCTTCGGCCGCCCTGATTCCCGTCTCGTGGAAATGCCACTTCTGGTCCAGACTACGACACGTTGTCGCTTCTCCCACTGGAGACGAGGACCAAGGAAGCAATCGATTTAACATTGCAAAACATTACACTGATCAGAAGTTGATGATACAGGAGACACCTGTCTTCATATACAATTGTTTGTTCATTGCTAGCATTATTGCTAAATGGCAACAAGGAATAAGTCCATTGAACCCTCATAAAGTAGTGCCAGTGGATCTGCATCCTGTGGATGCTGTCCCAGCCTACTCTACACACGTTTTTACATTGTACTGGTTTTCTCTTCACAGTATGCCATCATCAACAGAAAAATGCATTTAACTTTTAGCCTATTCCATGTGATTTTCATTGGCCAAGCTGATTGTGAAATTTATTTCTATGTAGTTAAAACATCGTGGAGAAATGTGAAGTTTGGCAAATCTAAGCATACTTACAGTTATCCCACGTATCATACAGGTAGGCAATTCCTAGTTTAATTAGGGCTTCAACATTGCCCCGGTTTGCAGCTCTGAAATGGGCAAGAACAAGACATGCTGTAATTTTAATGCAATTTAATGTATTTTTAACTTAAATAAATATAGATAGATCAATAGATAACTGTATTAGAAATACTGTAGTTGGCATCCTTACCTTTCAAAGTGCCTGATGTTTCCCATGGATGGCCAATGACCATTCACATTAGCAATGGACCAGAGCTTCGGGTTGGAATCAATCAGATCCTTAAATACTGGATGCACCTGAAAGTTGAATTACAAAATGCAAACAGGCATATTTGAATTTTACATTAGGCCCCTATCTGACCATTTTAGTGCAGACAATATATTTTTTGATTGAGTCGGTAAGCGAAATTTACAGGCAGTTTAATTGTAAACGGAAACCACACTTCTGTAAATTGATCTAGATATCAGGTCTATGCCAAAATTTTCAATTATTTTTAGATTTTCTAAACTGATAATTAGAAAGATTATTTGTCGACTTAAATTTGCCATCCAGTGGCCCATTGTCAGAAATATCAGAAATATTCATTATCATCATGAGGCTAAAATTTCATAACGTTTGAAGAGAAGTGTCATGAAAAGTTGACATTTCACTCATGATTGTTATAATTAATTATGGTGTTTCTGACAACGAGCGTCACGGACATAGCCATAGGCGCTTGGATCAGTTGGTAAAAACTTAGAACGTTATGTCAACTAGGTGTCTTAAAAATTCATAAAGAAGTCGACCCTCTGGTCAGTGTCCAGTAGGAACGGCCAAGAGTCAACTGTTCCAACTGCCTACGTGGCCAGAGAAGGTAAAATAGAAGAAAAAAATCCATACAGCTCTCATTGTGATAAGATCTATAAGAGGAAGTCCTTCTAGTAATCTAAGATGAAGTTCCTCAGGGAGACTCCAGATTTTCACTGAAGGCTTTGCATTGTCATTATTATGCTTCTCGGATTTTCTTGAACGCATCACTGGTGTTGACTCAAATGGGAATATGCCTGCAGATCGAACACCTTCGATAACTGTAAATATTGTGAATTTTTGAACGCATGATATAAAACTAGGCTAACAAATTTCAACACTCAACAGACAACGAGACAACCGGATCCAATCAGTAACGACTAACGACGTGGAAATTGTGAATCGAGTAAGTTTAATCGCGTATTAAAACAGCAAGGCAACAGTTGGTAGAAAATGTGGCCCAAGGATAGAGAACATGGGTCCCAATAAAACCAATGTGCCTAACCCTAACCCTAATTCTAACCCTGGCCCTAACGGCCCAAGGATAGAGAACATGGGTCCCAATAAAACCAATGTGCCTAACCCTAACCCTAATTCTAACCATAACCCTAACCCTAACCCTAACCCTAAACCGACCAGGCTCTCCGGCTAGTTACACGGCGGAGGAGTGTATCTCGCCACGTAGTGTTAAGCGAGATGGGAACTTGTGGCTACCCTAACCCTAACCCTAACAATAACCCTAACCTATTATATTGATATAATATTATATTTATATTGATGTAAATGACATTAGTTTTATTGGGACCCATGTTCTCTATCCTTGAACCCGTTATATCTCAGCGACTTAAATCAATACTTTTCATCATGATGATCATACTCGTACTAGTACTACTACTAGTACAACTACTACTAGTACTATCAGGAGTAAGATAATATAGGATCTATATTATCTTACTCCTGGTACTATCATACGGTGCAAATCCACTTTAGGCACCTTAGCCTTAGGTATCACGAAGTGATGCACAGATTTCTGTGTATCATCAACTGATGCACAGATTTCTGTGTATCATCAACTGATGCACAGAATTTCCGTATATCAAGGAATGATGCAAAAACCCTAACCCTAACCCCAACCCTAACCCTAACCCTAACACACTTCGTGATACCTAAGGAGTAAGGCTATACTTTATGACTTAGGGTTAGGGTTTAGGGTTGGGGTTTTTGCATCATTCCTTGATATACGGAAAGTCTGTGCATCAGTTGATGATACACAGAAATCTGTGCATCAGTTGATGATACACAGAAATCTGTGCATCACTTCGTGATACATAAGGTGCCTAAAGTGGATTTGCGCCCTATCATACTCCGAGTCATAGTAACCTGATAATACATTGTAGGCCTAGTAGTAGTATTTGTAATGAGTCAATGTAATTTACTAATTTATACACTAACGGTGATCGTTACTTTTTGAATTGCTTGTTCCATTTTTAATTATAGCTTACCTCTCATCTTCTTTGTGTTATTAAGCTCCCTTAAAGTCCAGATTAACGCATAAATTATAATATATACCGGTAAGTAATTCAGGCAAACCGTCACAACTTCCTAACGAACTCAATATTTTATAGCTCTTCTAAAGATATTTTGATCCTCGCGCCCGCTCAAACCTAGTCGTTGATTCGCCAATCGAAAACAAATGAGCATCTATCGGTGGTACTGGTCATGTGCCTTGGTGCTTGGTGCTTAGACTGGTACCCGGTCCCACCTATAGGCTTAGGTGGGACCATCGAGTAATCAAGTAATCGAGGTAATCGAGTAATCGAGTAATCGAGGTGGGAGCTAGTACCAGTCTAGGCCTAACTTGGTCACAGATGTCATCAGGAGTAATATCATGGGCGGATCCAGAGGGGGGTCGAGGGGGTCCGGACCCCCTCTTTTTACCACAAAAAACATACACGCACGCACGCACGCACGCATGCACGCACGCACGCGCGCGCACACACACACACACACACACACACACACACACACACACACACGCACACGTACACTTTTCTTATATTGTCTCATAAAAAATCTTGTTTAGCGCTAGTTTTTTCTATGATAAAGACCTCTTACTCGTTATATATATGTAAATTCGTATATAAAAATCTAGAATTGGCAAAGAGGCGGTCCGCAGGCGTTCCGGGAACGCGGATTCTGATAAAATTTCTTGCATTTCTAAGAATCAAATTACTGCTCAGATTCTCTCTAGAATCCACCAATTTTTAAAAAAAATCTCTGGATGGAATGCTCGCCCCCCCCCCCCTTAAGTGGCTTCGGCAGCTTTTTATAAAACACCCAGAAAACAGTAAGGCGAGGGCAAGAAAGTGCCCTTTATTATCTTCCTGGACACCCCCTTTTCAAAAATCCTGGATCCGCCCCTGAAGATAATATAGGTCCTCCTGATATCATAATATATTCACGTGTATATCTGATAACTATATTGTCTTGATATATTTGCAGGCCCATCGTAACCTCTTAACCACGTAATAATAGCGTCCACTGGACTAAACCGAAGACGGAGAGAGACGTACGCGCGGTATCTTCTGGCTTTGTTTCAATATTGGACATTAATTGTGACCGATATTGGACACCGAGAATACGGTGTCAACGTCTAGTGAATTTTACATAGCGTTGATCAGAGGGTATAAATGTATGTGTTTCGTTGATAAATTAATTTGCAGGTCACCCAGAAAGGAGTATGAGCTGCGGCCAACCTACATTAACTAAATGGTTATCGGTCGGGAGCGCGCAATTATGGCGCGTGACGCGATTCCAATAAATAAATATATATATATAGGGGCTTACACTATTATAATATATAATATATACTAATATATATATATATATAATATATATATACTATATATATTATATATTACTATATAAATGTTTGATTTGAAGTGTTGTGCCAGAAGAACTGATTATAATATTCTTTATTAATAATCATTAGTTTTCTACTTATTAGTTACAATGATATAGTTTTGAGATGCATGTAAGTGCAATTCCTTGTTGCGCCTTTGTAGTGACTCATTACCTTTCTTGTGTGATTAGTAACTGTGTTATTGTATTGTAAGGTGGAGTTTATTGTATTGTAAGGTGGAGGTGTTGTCGTGACAGAACAATTATTAAAATAAGAAGAAGAAGCTAGAATAGTATCCGTTTTAGTTGACATAGTTTTAGTTCACATGTAACATTTATGAGACGTATTAGAGCATATTATTATATATTATATATATATATATTATATATATATATTATATATAACGTAAATATATGTATATATATATATGCGAGCGCGCGCGTGAACCTCCTCGTAATTACCGCCGATACAGGTCTTGGTAAAACAGAACATTTTCCGCTATGGTACTCTTGATCTCAGCATAGATATCTGTAATAAATTGTTATCAATAGATCTGTGTATATAGGAGATATATTCTGCCACTCCCGTCCTTTCCCTTGCCTCCCTTGTTTCTCGTTCAGCATCCTTCTTCTACCGCGCCTCGGCTATCTTCCCTGCTGTCTTTCCTCAGTCTGCCGTCACCCCTCTCTCTCAGCAAGCTATATTATGCACTCTTCCTCAGCCCGAGCTGCACGTCTGAAAGGGTGCTCGCGCATGCGCAATATCTCCCGGGAAGAATAATATTTTGCAAAAATTATGCATTTAAAATGAAGAGGAGTTATTAGCATAGATTTAGATGATAACATTTATGATAAGTTATATTTTGTGATGAATATATGCACTTAATACGGCTAGGGGCATGGCCCGCGAAAGGGGGGGGGCTAAGGGGGCTCGAGCACCCCCACTTTTTTTATGCTACATAAAATTAAATGAGAGGGAGAGAGGAGAGAGAAAACAGAGAGGAGAGAGAAGAAAGAGAGAAAGAGAGAGAGAGAGAGAGAGAGAGAGAGAGAGAGAGAGAGAGAGAGAGAGAGAGAGAGAGAGAGAGAGAGAGAGAGAGGGGAGAGAAGGAGGAACCCAATATCGGGGATTTTGGGGGTCGCAACCAGATTGTTCTGTGTAGAGCGGACGGTAGTCAGCAAAATCGTTGAATAAAAAAAGAAAGAAAAGAAGTTTACTCTCCATTAACCAAGTGATTATTTTCACTCTATGCCTGGCGTTCTGTTTTGAAGTGAAAGAGCAAAGTTTAATATAAAATTCGGGCTTGAAGGGGCTAAGTAAAAATAGTGGTGATGGCCATATACGTGATCCACTACTAGATCTCTCGCAAGTTGTATTTCAGTATTAATGCATTTCAGTTAATTCAGTATTCCCCTAAACGCGAAGCCATCTTTGGAAAAATCAAAGACGACATAGACTTAGACACAGCAGGTATTATGTCCAACACGGTGGACAGTCCGAGGAGATAGTTTTAGTCGTATCATCCTAAACTATGAAGCCCTTATTTGCAGTTAAACGTGTGTTTAAGTGAACGTTTAAGCACAGAATGGTTCGAACGTTCAGGCGCAGATGGAAACATTCGAGTATCTATTCGCATTACACATGGGCGAACAGTTGTACAGTTTGACTGATACTCTTTCCGAAACGTTACAACGGTCCAAGTTTTCCAAGTTACAAGGTCAAAATGCAGTTAGGGAAACGAAACGAACAATTCAGAAGCTGAAAACTGATAACAAATTTCAGGAATTTTATAGCTCGGTGGTAGAAAAAGTCAAGAGCCTAAAGGAAAGTCAAGAGCCTGAAATACCTGGAGCTTTAAATTGACCCAAAACGTCAAAGAAAACGTCCTGCGCCAAAGAAACACGAAGTTGGATGTGCTGCACCACATTATGAATATTACAAGCTCCAGTATTTTGAAGCTATTGATTTGATAATCAATGCTGTTGCTGCAAGATTCGACCAACCAGGATTTGTGGCCTACAAAAATTTGGAGGAACTACTCATAAAGGCGATCAAAGAGGCAGACGTGATATGCGTCAAAATCCACGCCCTAAGTTCTTGCGATAGTCACACACGCGTTGCATCTTTTAAAGCGTGTATAAATTTACGCTCAAAACGCATTAGGTACAGGTAACGCACACACACAACGAATATTTACGAATCACGGGAAATGCATCCCGAGCAAAACCCGAATACCACCAATTTTTCCCCCATGCTTCAATAAAAAATGGCGGACGCTCTGGATTCTCAACTATTTATTTCTGTGGCTATATCAGACAGCCACTCAGAAACTGGTCTTGGTCAGACTATTTCAAACCTTTATGTACAATGAAATTGATGAAAAAGACAATTGGTAACATTAAATATGTTTGAGCATTGATCATTTAGTGAATGACATATGGTTAACACACTTAAATAGTAAATTATATGTACAGTGAACAAATAAAGGGTCAATGTGGATATATAAATTTTGTTTTTAGTAGGTGTCATAACGTATTGTTCGCATGTATTGCGTTTAACTATGATTTTTGTTAATTTCCTAGACATATAATCAGGAATAAGATAATATAGGATCCTATATTATCTTACTCCTGATATAATGGTACGTATATTTTACAAATAAGTGCCCAAAATACGTCAATCCGAGGTATTAAAATGGCTGGAATTCCAGAGCTTCCAGGGATTCCGCCCCCTGGACCCCCCCCCCACACACACACACACCAAGGCACCCGCGTAACCAGGGCGCGATGGGGGCGGTCGCCCCCAAAAAGAGAGAGAGAAAGAGAAGAAATGCAGAAGAGGGAGAGGCTAAGATTTGCTAACAATGTAATCTTTATAAATTCTTATAATTTCCTATTTTAATATATAATTTTCGTATATCAGGAGTGAATTTTTCTTCATGTAGGCTACTAACCATTTTCCCCATTTCTATGTTCGAAACAAAGGACCAGATGATATCATTTTGGCATGGTGCAACCTAACAGCTACTAAAAACAGCCACTAGGGGAAAAAACTTGATTGTGCGTGCGTGCGCTTCCTAAATGTCCGTCCATTGAGGACGGCTTGAGGGGCCGGATTTGAGACAAAAATACTCGGTGCGGGACCATGCAAACTCAAATTTATTATATAATTGAAGCCTACTCTTTCTCCTAGAATTCTACGCCTCTCAAGCTGTATGTAGAAACGAATAGAATTGATGTAGGCCTACCTCGATTCTAAGCTATATGGCTATAGTATTGGTTCATTTTCAAAATGGTTTTTGTGATAAAATTCAAGTGGTGTTATAGCCAGCTGTATCAAATTCTTGCAAAAGTTTTATTCAGTAGTCGGATGAATTTTGATTTAAGAAGGAAGTTAAGAACATGAGTCGTTTACACACATCTTTCTGTTTTGATGTCTTATGTGCGAAGTTCACAACAAACACTATCCAAAGCTATACCCCGGACTACAAAAACCACATAGAAGTGGAATTCAGCTTCATTAAGAAAATTTATTTTAAACGTTTAAACATTGCTGTACCGGCCCTTCAGCACTGGTTGTTACGTCTCCCGTTTTAATTAGTGCTAGAGCTTTCGCACTTCGCGTGGGAGGGGGGCACTTCCCCCTCCCGAACTCAAACGCAATAAATTGAGCAACACCACTTCAAAAATCGTTCCGCGGCCCTTGTATATATATATATATACTATATATATATAGAAAGAGAGAGAGAGAGAGAGAGAGAGAGAGAGAGAGAGAGAGAGAGAGAGAGAGAGAGCGAAAAAGAGCAACGCAGTTCATTGGCACCATAAATGCAAGGAATTGCGTTAATTACAGCATTGCTTTAAAACGTTATATGGGGGCATACGTCCCATCATAGAAAGAATGTACTAGTTAGATAGTGTCTCTCTATTATGTTTCTATGCGTCCCACAGCAATGAGTCATGCTGACATTTGTATATGCTTCTAGGCTAATATCTGGGGTCGCGCATGCCGACCATCTGACGAAATCAATCGTGTTTTGCCGCCATGAATACGTTTCTAATCTTAATGGTTTACTAAACTTGCATGAAGTAGATAATGCATGCTGTGATTTTGTTATAAACAAATACCTGTCGTTATAGTTTCGATAATAATTATTAACTTCACACAACCACGTAATAATATAATACCGATATTTTAACTGTGATTAAAATATCGTTAATAATGTATATAAAAAAAATACAATAACTTCACGTGTATTATATAGTTTTATATGTATTTTATAGCAAATTATTGGCAGCTATAATGCAGGAATTCCGTAATTACACACAATTTTTCTAAAAAGAAAAGAACTATCCGCACAGCCTGCCACAACAGCGAACATGACAAAATTTCTGTGATTTGCAGGCTTATATGTGTGCTCGCCCATGGCCAGCCTCTGACGAAATGAATCGTATATTGACGTCGTGATTATGAGTCTAAATGAATATCGAAGCTTTACGAACTAGATAATTTGCAGTCGGTCTGTTTATTTTGCAAAGCCAACGGACTGTCGCGGTTATATGGATAATATTAATAAATGTTACATAACCACGGGATAATATAATGGCGTAATGAAATGTTTAGTTAAGATTAACATATAGTTAAAATTGAAAATCCCCAATGTGAAATCCTTATGATGATATACAATGTTGCTTTGTAGCATTTCCCCTCTTTTCATGCGGTAGGCCTACAACGTTGCAGCACACGCCAGTTTTCCTCGCTACGAGTGTGATATATCCTCTCAGTTATAACGCAATTAACGCAATCAATTATGAACAGAGAGTGAATGTTGAAAAGAATCATAATACATAAACAGAATACTAAAGTGCCATACTAAAGAGGAACGCGGTTCGGCTTCGATGTGAGGAATAGCAATGAACGCGTTAGGTGAGCGCGCTTTGCGTGTCGGCTATCCAACTTGACAAATACTCGACGTCTGTGTATACGCCTGGATAGTCTGCAAGGGCACACTCGGCTCCCCAGCTCACCAAGCCAACGAGAACAGTAGTGCCCGAGTCGTCGATCCGCACCATCGGCCCACCAGAGTCGCCCTGTTATACGATAAGATTATATATACATGTTAAATATCTTGCCGGTAGGACTGCATGGGTTTGGTGCTGGTAAGGTGGTGGAAAATGTTTATTCCGTGGCTTTCTAAGATGATTGTGATAATTATGAGTACTGATAGCATGATTAATCAGTTTGCGGTATACGTAATGCATGCTGTTGTTTCGATATCACGAGTATGAAATAAAGATAAGAAAGATTTTTTTATCTAGTGACTAAATTCGAAGCGGGAATGCCGGGTGGAGTGAATGGGGTGGGGGGGCACACACCTATCCTTACTAAAGTAAAACAGTTTAGCAGTTAAACAGTAAAAGTACTCTAACTAATAGCCGAGCACACACACACACACACACACACACACACACACACACACACACACACACACACACACACACACACACACACACACACACACACACACACACACACACACACAACACACACACGACACCACACACACACACACACACACACACACACACACACACACACACACTACACCACGACACACACGACACACACACAACACAC